AATATTTTTAAAGTAGCTGTATTATTCAAAATAATCTGAAGATTCAGTGCAATCCCTATCAAAATATGAATGTCACTCCTCACAGAACAAGCGAAACCATACCTAAAATTTGTAGGGAACCAGAAAAATACCCAAATATCCAATGTTATCTTGAACAGAAAGACCAAAGGACTAAACTAATGGACTTCAAAATACACTACAAACAATAATAATCAAAGCAACTTAGTTCCAGGTGTGGTGGTAAAGCCTGTAATCCAAGCAGTTTAGGAGGCTGAAGCATGAGTTTTACAAATTCAAAGCTAGCCTTAGCAACTTATTGCAGTCCTAAGAAATTAAACAAGACCCTGTCTCAAAATAATACATTTTAAAGGGGATTTAGATCTGTGGTTCAATCCCCAGTACAATCCCCCCACCAAAAAACAAAACAAAAAACAACAAAAAAAAAATGTTGTTAATCTTAGTACAAAGTCACATAGACTAATGAAACAGAATAGATTGTTTAAAAGTTAAACCTACACATATACTGTTAACTGATTTTTGACAAAGTTGCTAAGAACTTTCATTTTAAAAAGAATATTTTTTTCAATAAATTATGCTAGGGAAATTGGATATCCACATGCCACATACAGAAAAATGAATTTAGACCCCTGTGTCTTGCCAGTTACAAAAATCCACTCAAAATAGACAAAAGACTGAAGTGTTTAAGACTGAAACTACAAAACTACTAGGAGAAAATGCAGGGGAAAACTTCAGGACATTGGAATCAGCAAGAAACTTTTGGACATGAACCCCAAAACACAGGAATCAAAAGCAAACATAGACAAACGGAACTAAATCAAACTCAAAATCTCTGTACAGCAGAGAAAACACTCATCAGAGTAAAGATAACAACTTACTGAATAGGAGAAACTATTTCCAAGTTACACAGTTAACAAGGAGTACATCTAGAATATGCAAAGAGATACAAACCCTCAATATCAAAAAAACAAAAATTAAAAACTGCCCAATTGAAAAGTGGGTAATATATTCACGAGGAAAAGAAATGAAATCATAATCAGTGAGGTTGCATAACTTTTCATGTGGTGTCAGCTGTACAAACTTCACTTTATTAAATGATTCTGATAACCATAGAAGTGAGTCCTATATTAATTGATACATGTGGATATTTTCCTGTCAGTAATGTGATTAGTAATAAAATAGGATTAACATAAACATTACTACTGAAACATAAGTTCAGTTATCATCAGTATGTATGAATGTATGCAATGACTTCTAATCATTTTATTTAAAGTAACCTCATCATAGCTCTTTAAAATACACTTGTAAATTACATTCAAACTCACACTAGTTGAAAATTCTAATATGACACTATCATATTTTCAGACAGAAATTAAGATGCTGTTCTTTTGATTGACAGTGAACATTGAAATTCTTATTTTTACATTTTAAAAAAGACAACCTTAGCTGTAAGTGCACAATAGGTAGACCCCTGTCAAACTGCAGTTACCTTGGGACCTCTTATCTGTAGGATTTCTGGTACCATGTGTTCACATATGATAATCACTCTAACACTCAACAACAATGAAGGATTGGTACCACGAATTCTTGAAAATGTAATTCCAAAATATATTTTTTAAAATGCTATAAAGAATACTAAAGTAAATCTTTATTTATGCAGTAAACTTATACTTAAGAAGTACTATATTTTTATCCAGTTGTACATTTAACACTGCTTACATTCATTTTACAGTCTCTTGTGTGACTAATGAGAAGAGCAAGGAAACGAGTCCAATAATTTTAAGGTAAGTTACACTCCTTTTCAATTTTCTTCTCCACAGATATACAGGCTGCTGATATTTGGTATGATTCATATATGTGCTAAAAATTCCCCTTAGCAAAGCATTCCCTTGTTTATCTCTTGGAGCTCTGATGATCTTTTTGATTAATTCCACATTCAATTTACAGAAAGCTTTAGAAATGCAAAAGTATGGTTTTGATTTCTCCAGATCTTATTTGCAGAAAACCTTGCATAATCTCTGCTAAAATACCAAGTCTCACCTTTGATAGGTAATTCATGACCAAGGTCAGAGAGAAAGCCGTGCTCCCTGAGGGACCACCCACCTCAGGCTGACTAGAGCCTTACGTTGTGAAAATGATTTGAATTATGCATGCAGCAGTACAAGCATGACACTGTCATTTAGTTGGCTCTAAAAAAAGATTTGGTGCACAGTAAATACAACTGATTTTTATGTATCTTGGAAGATGACACTTTATTATAAAGTATGTCACAGTCATCTTCTCTGGCTGTTAAGACATCTAAAGTCATGTTGGTTTTACAACCTTCCCTCCCAATTACAATTCTGAAGGGCGGTTAGTGACAAGTGTGCAGTGTTTTGTCAAGCTATTCAGTTTATACAGATGGAATACTGTTTTGCTCAACAAATCCATTACGAGTGCAAATATGTGACTAAATGGACAGGCGTTTGTTTTAGACGTGAGTGCAGCCAGTCACCAGGACATTTTAAAGAGCATTTCCTGTAACTTCACTGAATGCAACTCAACATTCTAGGTTTCCTTCTAATGCCCATCTGCTCCTATTAACCCTTTTGTAAGTTGCATTATTTTGAGTGTGACCTTGAATCAACTAGCTCCCATAGGAACTCTCTTCAGAGTACAACAATTTTATTTTGTTTTAAAGGCTGCAGTGGTTCTAGTATTTTATATAGGACTACTTCATTTTTTATCTCTAATTTCAAATGATACTTTGGAAATTACTTAGCTCTGGTCTAAAAGTGTTGGTAAACAACCCTGCTAACAACCCATGAGAACAGGAATGATTTTATCTCTTTTAATGGAAAATAGCATGAAAATAGTATGTTTTACCAGGTATCAGTCATGAAGGAAGAATGGTCAGATGAGTCATTTTAAAACCTTGATTCCATTATGCTTTCAACTAAATCAAGAGAGAGGAAGAGTAATGCAAAGGGGAAAGAAAATAAATGGTTTGTTCTGTATTACAGAAAATGCATGGTAAGCCCCACCCGGGCTGGTGCTGATGTCATAAATATCTTCCTACTGTGAGAATTGTCACCATCACAGTTCAGGTGATACACTTATTTCCAGGTCTGCCTGAAAAATAAAAAATCACTTTGCAATATTTTGAAAGCTGTCCAGATTCACAAGTAGACCATCCTTTCTCTACCAGAGAAAAATCAAAACAAATACATGATAAAAGATTTGAAAAAAATTTTTCTTATTTGATTTTTAAGTGATTTAGCCCATTTCATTCTGAGAAGAAGGTTCCCTATATCTTGAAGGAAACATACTTAAGCTTGGCAGGACTTCAAGTGATGATATTAAAAAAAAATTAAAATGATCTTGCAGATGTTTCATCTTTAGTCCATTTAAATGAAATATATCCCTTCTCCTAAATCCATGATCTGGTTAATTTTTCTTCAAATAATTATAATGCCAAAGATTTCTAAAATTGATAAAATCATTTTTCAACTGAGATCTCATTTAAAAGATCTTTTTATTACTAAAGTATATTTAATTGAATGATAAATATGAAAGCCATAATCATAATGCTTTTATACAGATTCTATAATTCGTTAATTTTTTTCTAGCTTTCCATTTCTTTCTCCATCTCAACATTTTATATCTTCAGGAGCCATTGTGAAGTCCATACTGAGTCAGAGTGATGAATCACACTAACCTCAGAAAACCATGCCAAAAAATATGCTATTTCTCACAGGATGATGAGCAAGTTCAGTCATAGCCAAAATGGCCAGTCTTGCTCCAAAGCACAATTACATAAATCCACTACATTTATTTGTCCAGGAAGTTAACTGTGGAAAAATAATGTGCTAGTAAAGCAAAGCAAAACCATTGTGAAAAGAAAATAAATTGAAAAATGATGAAGATAACAGAACATTTTTTATAATATGACAACAATATGAAACCCATCTGGGCAATCAGCCTCGGGAGAAGGTCTAAAACCCAAGCACTAGATTTCTTCATAGCTCATGGTCCTATGGTATGTGTCATGGAGGTAACTTAGAATTTGTTTGTGATGTGATAGAACTGAATGTGGGCTATAAAAGTGCAGAAAACACAGTTGATTGAATTAGATTAAATACTTCCCAAATAAGCATATTTATGCATATATTTCTAAAAATAAAGCAAGCATCAAACCAAGAAAAATGTTTTCTGTTTTCCCTTGTCATGGGCTGGTTAGGATGAAATATGCCTTAATTTAAATGCTTTGTCAATTTAAAAGAATAACAACTTTAAGAATATAGATTCCCAACCATTTCAATCCCCAAGAAAATTAAGAAAATAAGTTTACTCGCCAAAAAAAAAAAAAAGAAACTAAATTAAGCAAAGAAAGAATGGAGAATAAAGAAGGAAAGGATAGTAAAACACAAGAAAAATAATACCTACATCTTAGGGTTGAGTTTAATTGCCTTTAAGATGCTTTCACGCTGCCTCAGAACTGCTGTCAGATAGAACACTTGGAAAGGGCAAAGAAAATGTGGCCTTTAGTACATTTCAGTTAGAGTTGTGAGTTCAAAGTTAAAAAAAAAATTGTGAAGGTGTTCAGAAACACATAAGAGATATACTAGTTATACAAGGAAGACTTATTAAGAAAAAAATATTGAAACAGTCTCAGTGCAGAAAGGACTTCACAGTAATAATCAAGGGCAAACAAACCACATTTACTTTGCTGAATTTTGGTTATTTAAATAAAAAGAGTCAGGTGGTGGATAAATGCAGAACATGGTCTGTTCAGGCATATCAGTAAGCACAGAATGTAAACAGGATCATTCTTCTGGACCTGAATTCATATGTCTAAAATGGAAAGAGAGAAAATGTTGTTTTTCCTAAATCTAAATGAGTTACATGCTATTAATAAATGTGAGCAGGTGCCCTACAGTACCTAACTGCACAAAAATTAGTTTTAGAAAAACCACACCGACAACACTGGAAACTCTGCATGTTCCAAATATATATGATGCATCTATTATTCACAAAACTGGTATGAAGGAATTACTCATGATGTAAGTGCTCTTCCACAAATTCCCAGTTCTTCTTTATTCCTCTCTTTACAGGTGCAATTTCCTCCTTAAACTACTGTTTCTGAGATCCTCTACCTTCAACAGAATGTTTCAGCAAGATGCAGAATTGCACTCTGTAAAAAAAACAAGGATGTTGCTGAGTTTGAAGAATAATGGAAATGCATAGAATTTTCTTCCTGAAATTAATGTTCCTCAGAAGCCAGCAATCATGCTCTATAGTACACCAACTTTGTTGAACTCCATATTATCTAATAGTATCTACAACTAATTTTTATATTAATGTATGCCTCTTCTTTGTAACTAATGCACAAGCTAACAACTTTCAACTCTGGCTTTCCATATTACTTTGGCAAGTCGTATTTTCAGCTTTCATACACTTTTGAACAGTAACACGTTTATCTGTAGATTGGCAAAGGGGAATAAGAATGATGATATAAGTGGCATGAAACCAAATCCTCTTACTGAAGGCTAAATTTTTAGGCAGAGCTAACATAAACATTTCAGTTTCTCAAAATAGCCTGCCAAAGAAAATGCAAAAAATAATAATTTTAAAAGGATGATGTTTTTAAATCTGTACATATTAACACATATAATTTATAAAGTCTGAGTCAACTGGAAGCATTATAAACCTATAGTTACATACAAATCATTGGGGAATATTTCATGAACCCTTATAAAGCACATTACAGTATAATTACCTTTATGATTACAGTAGTTTGACAGTATCAATTTTTTTAAAAAAATTTAATCACTTTCCTAAGGATCTGTTTCTAATTCCAAACACCTTTGGATATCTCTGATTTTTCTTCCAGCATCTCAATTTTGACATACAAAGGAACAGTAGCCATCATCTTTATAAGTTAAACCCACTTATCTTCCTGCAATGTATTTTTTGGGTGCGGTACTGGGGATTGAACTCAGGGGTATTCGACCAGTGAGCCACATCCCCAGCCCAATTTTGTATTTTATTTAAAGACAGGGTCTAACTGAGTTGCTTAGTACCTGGCTAAATTGCTGAGGCAGGCTTTTTTTAAAAAATAGTTAATTAATTTTAATTAGGTATATATGACAGCAGAATACATTTTGATTTATTGCACACAATTGCAGCACAAGTTTTTATTCTCTGGTTGTACATGATGTGATAGCGTCACACTATATGTGCAGTCATACATGTACCTAGGATAATATTGTCCACCACATTTCACCATCTTTCCTGCCCCCATACTCCCTCCCCTTCCCTCACTCCCCTTGCCCAATCAAAGTTCCTCCATTTTTCCCATGACTGCCCCCATTATGTATCATCATTCACTTATCAGAGAGATCATTTGACCTTTGTTTTTTTTTTTTTTTTTTTTTGAGGGGACTGGCTTACTTCACTTAAAATGATATTCTTCAATTCCATCCATTTACCTGCAAATGCCATAATTTTATTCTCTTAATGCTGAGTAATATTCCATTGTTTACATATACCACAGTTTTCTTTATGCATTCATCTACTGAGGGGCATCTAGGTTGCTTCCACAGTTTAGCTATTGTAAATTGAGCTGCTATAAACATTGATTTGGCTGTGTTACATCAATGTTTCCTAATTCCAAACAACTTTGGATGTCTCTGATTTCTCTGCCAGTATTGCAAATTTCACATAAGAAGGAACAGTAGCCATCATCTTTATATGTTAAACTAGCTTATCTTCCTGTAATATATGGTGTTAAGTTATTTGGGTATAGACTGAGGAGTGTGATATCTGGGTCAAATGGTGGTCCCGTTCCAAGTTTTCTAAGGAATCTCCATATTGCTTTCCAGAGTGTTGCACCAATTTTCAGTCCCCCCAGCAATATATGAGTGTTCCTTTACCCCCACATGCTCACCAACACTTATTGTTGTTTTATTCTTGATAACTGCCATTCTGACTGGCATGAGGTAAAATCTTGGAGTAGTTTGATTTGCATTTCTCTAATTACTACAGATGTTGAACATTTTTCATGTTTGTTGATCAATTGTATATATTCTTCTGAGAAGTTTCTGTTCAGCTGCTTAGCCCATTTATTGATTTGGTTGACTGACTTTTTTTGGTGTTAAGTTTTTTTGAGTTTTTTTTATATATCTTGAAAATTAGTGATCTTTCTGACATGTGTGTGGCAAAAAATTTGCTCCCCAAATATAGGCTCTCCCTTCACCTCATTGGTTGTTTCTTTTGCTGAGAAACTTTTTAGTTTGAATTTATCCCACTTATTAATTCTTGATTTTATTTCTTGTGTTTTAGAAGTCTTGTTAAGGAAGTTGGGGCCAAATCCGATGTGATAAAGATTTAGGCCTACTTTTTCCTTCTATGAAGCCACCGTCTGTGGCCTATGTCATATGTCCTATAAATCAACGATGAATCCACTGAAAGAGAAATTAGGAAAAGTACCCCATTTACAGTAGCCTCAGAAAAAATAAAATACTTGGGAATCAACTTAACAAAAGATGTGAAAAAAAAAACACTGCAATGAACACTACAGAACACTCACTTTGAGTTGAATTTTGTGCATGGTGAGAGGTAGGGGTTTAGTTTCATTTTGCTGCATATGGATTTCCAGTTCTCCCAGCACCAGTTGTTGAAGAGGCTATCTTTTATCCTCTGTATGTTTTTAGTTCCTTTTTCTTGTATGAGATAACTGTATTTATATGAGTTTGTCTCTGTGTCTTCTATTCTGTATCATTGGTCTACCTGTCTATTTTGGTGCCAAGATCATGTCATATTTGTTACTATAGTTTTGTAGCATAGTTTAAGATTGGTTTTGTGATGCCTCCTGCTTTACTCTTCTTGCTAAGGTAAGAATTGCTTTGGCTATTCTGGGTCTCTTATTTTTCCAAATAAATTTCATGATTGCTTTTTCTATTTCTATGAGGAATGACATTGGGATTTTAATTGGAATCACATTGAATTTGTATAGCACTTTGGGTAGTATGGCCATTTTGACAATATTAATTTTGCCTCTCCAACAGCATGGAAGACCTTTCCATCTTCTAAGGTCTTCTTCAATTTCTTTCTCTAGTTTTCTGTAGTTTTCATTGTAGATTTTTTTCACATTTTTGTTGATTCCTAAGTATTTTTTTGAGGCTATTGTGAATGGGATACTTTTCCTAATTTCCTCTTTCAGTGAGTTAATCACTGATTTATAGAAATGCATTTGATTTATGGGTATTGATTTTATATCCTGCAACTTTGCTGAATTTATTTATTAATTCTAGAGGTTTTCTGGTGGAGTTTTTTGGATCCTCTAAGTACAGAATCATGTCATCAGCAAATAATGATAGTGTGAGTTCTTCTTTTTCTGTTGGTAGCCCTTTAATTTATTTCTTCTGTCTAATTGCTCTAGCTAGAGTTTCAAGGACTATGTTGAATAGAAGTGGTGAAAGAGGGCATCCTTGTCTTGTTCCAGTTTTTAGAGGGAATGCTTCCAATTTTTCTCCATTTAAAATGATGTTGGCCTTGGGTTTAGCATAGATAGGTTTTACAATGTTGAGGTATGTTCCTACTATCCCTAGTTTTTCTAGTGTTTTGAACATGAAAGTGTGCTGTATTTTGTCAAATGCATTCTTTGCATCAATTGATATAATAATATGATTCTTATCTTTAAGTCTACAGATGTGATGAACCTTGCATCCCTACAATAAACCCCATTTGATCATTGTGCACTATTTTATAAATGTGTTTTATATGTAATTTGCGAAGATTTTACTGAGAATTTTTGCATCAATATTCATTGGGGATATTGATCTAAATTTTTTTTTCCTTGATGTGTCTCTGCCTGGTTTTGGTATAAGGATGATACTAACTTCATAGGATGAGTTTGGAAGAGTTCCTTCCTTTTCTATTTCTTAGAATAATTTGGTATTAATTCTTCTTTAATAGAAATAGGTCTTATAGAAATCACCTATGAATCCATCTGGTCCCCAGCTTTTCTTGGTTGGTAGGCTTTTGATGTCATATTATTTTTTCTTGCTTGCAATTGATCTGTTTAAATTCTGTAGGTCCTTTTGACTCAGTTTGGGTTGATCATATGTCTCTAGAAATTTGTTGGTGTCTTTGAGGTTTTCTATTTTACTGGAGTATAAATTTTCAAAATAGTTTCTAATTGTCTTCTGTATGTCCATTGTGTCTGTTGTGATGTTTCCTTTTTCATCACAAATTTTTGTAATTTGAGCTTTCTCTCTCCTTCTTTTCATTAGGGTTGCTAAGGATTTATCAATTTCATGTATTTTTTTCAAAGAACCAGCTTTTTGTTTTGTCGATTTTTTGGAATTGTTTCTTTTGTTTTAATTTTTTTCCCTTATTTCAATTATTTCCTATCTTCTACGAATTTTGGTATTGGTTTGTTCCTCTTTTTATGGGTTTTGAGATGTACTGTCAGGTTGTTTATTTGTTGACTTTTTCTTCTTTTAATGAATGAACTCCATGCAATAAACTTTCCTCTTAGCACTCCCTTCATAGTGTCCCATAGATTTTGATAAGTTGTATCAGAGTTCTAATTTACCTCTAAGAAATTTTTTTGTTATCTCCTCCCTGATGTCTTCTGTTATCCATGCATTACTCAATACAGTATTATTTGGTCTCCAGGTGTTGAAGTAGCTTTAATTTTTTATTTTATCATTGATTTATAATTTCATTCCATTATGGTCACATATAATGCACGGTAGTATCTCTACTTTTTTTGTATTTGCTAAGACTTGCTTTATGGCATAACATATGGTCTGTTTTGGAGAAGGATCCATGTGCTGCTGAGAAGAAAGTGTAATTGCTCATTGTTGGATGGAATATTCAATACATGTCTGTTAAGTCTAACTTATTGATTGCATTATTGAGTTCTATAGTTCTTTGTTTAGTTTTTGTTTGGAAAATCTATCCAGTGGTGAGAGACATGTATTAAAGTCACCCAGTGTTCTTGTGTTGTGACATATTTTATTCTTCTCGTTGAGAAGGATTTGTTGGATGTACATGGATGCCCATTGTTTGGAGCACAGATATTTATGACTGTTATCTTGTTGATGTAATGAATTCCTTAAAAAGTATGAAATGACCTTATTTATACCTTTTTACTAGCTTTGGCTTGAAGTCCAATTTATCTGA